GAGACACGTTCAAGTAACATTTGATAATTAGGTAATCATTAACACGCGATCTCTGAGGTAAACACTGCTGTCTGTGCGATAATCTTGACAGATGTGGAAATGCGCTGTGCGAAATCCACCGCGCTTCATCACCGACGAGCGCGGCGCGCTCGTTACAGGTGCGCGCAAATACGTCGAAGTCCTGGGAAGAATAATAGACGGCGAAGCCACGAATACCGGACCGCCAATATCCGCGAAGTCGAGGAAGATATGCCGAAGCGATTCCGATTATTTCGCGCAACCGGCGTCGATCGTCAAATCGGAATAATAATCGCCAAATTGGAACCGACTGCGTGCGGTGCTCTCGCAATCGCAGCGAGAGAAGGAGGGTGTGCAGGCGACGTTCTTTCTCGCTCNCCCCCCCCCCCCCCCCCGCCTTCTCCTCGCGTTTATGACACGACGCGAGAAATATCTGGGAAAGATTGGAATTAATTTCTTTTTTCCCCTCGACGAGCCAATCTATACTGGTGCATGATTGATCGACGAATTTCCGCTCCCGTTTCCGTCCTAGCTTGCATATTAATTACCAGGTTAATTCGAAGAGCGGCGAGGCTAATATCCAAGACGATTTAATTTCCTAGAGATTTCGGATTTCCGTCAATCTATTGTAAGCCGGAGCGCCGTGGAATTTTCGAGAAATTCAATTCCGTCTTTTCCCCGAAACTGTCCATTAAATTACGGTAGATAAGGATTCAATAATACGAGTGGAAGCCTGAATTTCAAGGATATACGACGCGCGAATAGACGGGGAAAAACAGCCGTGAGATGAAAAGTAATGAAAGTGTTCAGCGCTGAGCGAGACGCGCGGAGACGGGGAGTGAAATTGTCGAAATTTCTCCGCGGGTAATCATCGCTCGCGCGAGATGAGGCAACGTAGGAGAGTGGAGGGGGGTACTCCAAAGAAGGGATACGCGGACTCCCATGGTTTGCGTCCGTGGTGGTTCATTACGCTTTCCACCCTGTTAAATTTCCACCTCGTTCTTGGTGTCAGGAGGGCCGCCGCATCGTGCCGTGCGCGCCCTCCTTGCAGTTTCCGCGTATGTAGATTGGCGCGATGAGAGCAGGGAAAAAAGGGGTAGAAGAAAAAAGTTTCAATCTGCCGCGAAACAGGCTTTCGTCGACGTCGTAAAAATGCGCCCGGCAGCATATTGACGCTCTCGTCGCGGCCTATAATCTGTCCGCATCGCACGCGCGTTCTCGACGTTGCGTCGACGATGCGCGATGAATAATTCGCCGAGCGACGATGGCAAAGCTCGAGCTACCGCGTGAGTTTCGCGTGGAAAAATTAACAGGCGTGTAGAAAAAGGCGTGCGCGCTCGCCCGTACGAGGAGTTGTATATCCAGAACGCTAACAAACCGATTTAACCAGGTAATTCGCGTTACCAGAGAGATAATTATTGTTATCGTGTATGTAACAATTTCGACAGGTGGAAACGTGAATCGCGCGATTGCGAGTTTAATCGAATTTAATATAAAACGCCGATGAAAGCGACGTGTAATTTCGCTCCGAACGAGTTTCAGGGAAAATCGCGCGCTGAAATTAATCCGCCCGTGTCATATTTTACGCGATGAATTCCCTTCGCGTTATCTTCCTCCGCGCTCGCACACCATTCTCACCTTTGCGTTCAGTCGGTCGTGAAAAGAGATGGTAACATTTTCACCTTGATGAATTTCGGAACGTATCTAGTGTCAAGTAGAAAAATTTGTCTTCTGGGAATTAACTCTTTGCACGCCTCTAGTGCCACCTGCACTGAAGAAAATTAATAACGATGAAGATAAAACTTACTTACATGAGAAAGTTCTATATAATTTCGCTAAAAATATAATTTTGTTATTTAAATATAATTGTTATGAATTAAGAGGAAATAATAGCCGATAGGAAAACGATATGTTAAAATTCACACAATTCTTCGTTTAAAAATATCGTTTTTTCTACCCAATATTCATTCCTCATAATTCATAAAAATTATCCTTAAATAACAAGATTATTTTATTCTCAATTCATGAAGATTAATTTTATAATAAGGACATTATATTTTTGGTGGAACTATATAGGATTTCTTCATATATACATTTTATCTTCAAATAAAATTATATATTCTTTCTTATATGTATGCGAATATGAGATCTGAATTGATAGTAATTAAAAAAAAATAATTTTTTTCACGTAGTTTTCATGTAGTTGACTTTGAAACTTGTTTAATATTCCAATCCACACACGTTAACTCAGTCGGCAGTATAAACAAAATTATGCTAAATGTTAGGAAGAATTAGTTTTAAAAGCTCAAAAAAAAGTTTTCTTCAATTTTTCACGTTTTTTTTTCAGTTTCTTTGCGCAGAAAAATGAAAAGAGAAAACGTTTTTCTAAAACTACGTGAAAAATCACCGGCTATAATCAAACCGTTATATTGCTGTTGACAAACGTATTTTTTTTCACATAATTTGACAGTATTTATGAATAAACTACCAACGTCGTTCAAAAAGTCGCGGGGTTCGCGGGGTTGTTAAAAATGGAACTTTCCTGTTGGATCCACGGTTGTGAAAAACGTTGTTTATTGTGAAAAGAGAATGTCACGATCTTCTCACCGCTTCACCGCACGCCTATCTCGAAGAACGATCGCTCTCTTTGCGCTCTCTCTCTATTTCGCCCGGCTAATCGCGCGTTCACATGCCGAGAGAGTAGGATCGCCGCCGAAAATAACGAGGCCCTCGTACGTGAGGCGCGTCCGACCGCGCACTGTGCGCATTCACTCGCGGGGCCGCCCAGTAGTTGCGGCCGCGATAAGGTCGGCCATTCGGCTGACCACTTTCAGATATTACCACTCGCCGTTTCCGCGGAGTTCTGCCGCGTTCAACGATCATGCCCGGTTTATATGCGCACAGCGGGGATCTCGCACGTGCATTGTAAATCATCGTTTATAGCCCGGCTGCGAGATTGGATGGACTTTTTGGGCTTCGCCGGTAATTTCGTATCTTAGATGCCTCGATTGCACGCGCGACGCGAGATGGGAAAGGTGTGTCGAGGGACGTGTTATGACGGCCGGGCCGGGACTTACAAATTTTTCGTCGAACGAGAAGTCTCTTTCGGTTTCGCTCGCCGGTCAGGAGCGTTCGTAAAGTTTCCGCAGTCTTAACGAAAGGGGGAGAAAGAGAGAGAAAATGTACGTCCCGCTGTATAATTTATCGTTTACAACGTTGAATTATTAACGCGCGACCGCTGACATTGATTTACCATTTCATCGGTCGTGGCGGCCACGCAACGCAATCACGTTATGCATTCAGACTGCCCACCACCACCACCTGGGGGAAGCCTGGAAAACCTCGGGAAAACCTGCCGCAGGTTTCTCGCGCTCTCGTTTGACCTGGAAAAAATAAACAAGGTCACGATCAAAGTGCGATCTCTTCGTTCAGAAAAATCAGTCGTTCGACATTGAGAAGAAACTGCTCTCTGCGTGCCGCAGTTGCGCACTATAATTGCGCAACGAAATCATTACAGCGGGGGAAAGCTGATTTTTGTGATAAACACCGCTGTTAGCGGCGATAATCTTGTGCGCATTTTCCTTTTATTACGTCTTGTTAGTATAACGCATGAAAAGGGTGCGCTTGTCTATAATTCGAGCGAAATTAACCGTGTTCTCTCCTCTCACTGCTTACGACGATAATTACTTCTCGTTTCGCCAAAATAGTCACCGCGGCGTCGTTACATCGGCCGGTTACATCGTTACAACGACGATGTTACCGCGGGCATTTTCTAGGGGGAAATATCAAGTCCGTCCGTCGCGACGAATCTCTTTCCATCTCTCGCGCTAATTATACGGCGCCGTGCGCGCGCGTTGTTTGCTGTAAATGAAGTAATACTTCATCGTTCCGCGCGGAAACGCAGTCATTATTACACTTCGCGTCAGCTCCGCGTCGCTCGTCGCCGTCGTTGCGTATTACGTCTCGGCGTATACATTACAGTGGCCAAAGTATCTCGAAGCAAAGTTTGCAGTCTGCATCGGCCGAGTTGTTTGCGCCATTTATTAGCCCCGACAGTGCGCGACGATCCCTACTGCGCGCGTCGTCTCCTTTTTATCGATCTACTTGCTCTCGCCGTCGTCGTCGTCGTCGTTGCGCATCAATTACTTTGCACGCCTATCGCTTATCGTCTTATCCCGATGCTCGATCGGTCGTCTTACGGTAAATTTACCGAAACACTCGCTCGTCAATCCTCCGCTGTCGTCTATCGTCTCCGGCGTGATTACATATAAATCTGTATCTCGAAGGAGAAATCTCTCTTCGGCCTTCAGCCGCGAAAATCTTTAGAACTTGCGAACGTTACAAGCCTCGTGGTTCTCGCGAGCGCCATGAGATCTGAAAATTCTCCGAGCCCGGTCGCAAATCCCTTCGTTCTTCTTCGATCACGGAAGTACGATTACCGAATGTAGATCGAGCGGTGTTTGAAAACTTTTGCAAAATTCAAGAACCACTTCTGCAAATGGGGGGGTAAATGAAAAAAACGAACGTGGGTTTTTTCTCTCCCGGGAAACTGCGCGTTGAGAGAAATTACGGTGTGGAAATTATTCTCGTCCTCAATTTTTTCATCTTTTTATGGTTTTAATTACAAAAATTATAATAGCAATATGCATGTAAGGTTATCTGACGCTACAGTAACACTTACTGGTAAAATGGCCGCGCTATGGTTATAGTTACAAACTATATTATAAATTATAGTTACAACCCCTAATATTTTTCTCTCGGTGCACTTAAGGAGTTTACAGCTGTACGGTTATCATATTTTTACATAGTTACTCATAATTATTATAGTTTTACAGTATTAGAACATAAGTAAATCTTATCTCGTGGTTCCCCGGCTTTTTTCACCACCGCCGCGCGTCTTTCGTACGTTTTAACGCATTGCCGGCGCCGTGAGGGGGAGAAAGCGTCTCACTCAACGTCCGTTTGTTGTTTTCCGACGACAGTCGGAGGTGTTTCAGGCTGCGGTGGCGGCTGCGGCAGCGGCGCACGCGAATGGCGGCGGCCAGCAACCGGCACCAGCGACGGGTGCCGGCAACGAGGCGAGCCCTGAAGGCGTCGTGGAGTCTACCACATTGGTACCTGTCACCTCAGGTGCGACGACGCCAGCGACAGCGACACAGGGCACCGACCTCAAAGGTCAACCAAAACGCCTGCACGTCAGCAACATACCTTTCCGCTTCCGAGACCCTGACCTCAGGGCGATGTTTGGGGTGAGTATCTCTTTTCTTTCCTTTCGTTATCTTCTCGCACCAGTTGTTCACCTCCTGTTATTCCATTCGCCGAATCGGCGGCCTTGCGTTTCATCCTCGGATTATGACGCAGGAAAGATAAACCAGTGGAGCGCGCTTTCGTTTTCCCGTCTCCCTCCCTCTTCCCCGCCCCCTCCTCGGTCCCTCGTCTTCGGTATTATCGCGAAATAGAGATAGCCGCGGTGAAATGTATTCTCGGAATTTTTTCGTGTAAAATTTCACCCGAAAGATAGCGTGACAGTCGAGTTGCTCGAATTCCAGTGATCTCTCGCTTATATAGAACGAAGTCTTCATTCTGAATCATCGAGCGAATATTTCCATTTAAAATCGAGAAACGAGTCTGGTATATCACCTTTTAAATTTCTTGGGATGGAATCTCACTCAAAACAAATGAAAAATCGCAGTATATATTTTCGCTCAAAGCGACAGTGAAAATACTGACACTTGAAATCACAAGAGCGAATGTTTCATCCAAATTTAGAATGGATTCTGACGCCGTATGAGTAAACGTTTCAATCGATTACACGGAGAAAAATAGTTTACTGGCACAGCAAATTTTATACTGTTGCAGCAAAACCTGTCAGTTGCTATACGGACAGCAAAACGATTCGTTAAGAGTACTAATTGCCAATATCGCTGGTTTATTTTCGCTGAATTCACAAGTTATTTCGCTGTAAGAACAAATTAGTAAATGTAGGAAAATAATATTTTGTTTTAACAGTAAATTAACATGTCCTAGGGGCAAATTTATTCAGAGAAAGATTTTTCTATTCTGGCAACAAAACTGTTTCTGCTTTAATAATTTGCTGCTAATTTGCTTATGTTAACTACATTTTATTGCTGTCGCCACGAATATGCAGTAGCAACAATTGTTTCGCCACAACACAAGAATTGTTTTTTTCGGTGTAAAGTGAAATTATTCCCGTGACGGTTGGGATACGTCAAATTCATTCTTCAGTTTCGAGCGGAAATATTCACTCGATGATTTAAAGTGGAGAAACTTCACTCCAAACGAGTGAATAATCGCTCAAATCCGAGTAAATCGGCTGTCATTCTACTTTTTCGAGTGAAATTTCGCTTCAAGACGTTTAGAGAGTACTTCATTATCGGAACAGATTCACTTTAATCGAGTGAAATATTTACGTGATTGAAGAGTCCATTTGGAGTCTGAGTTAAACATTCACTCTTGTGATCGCGAGTAACGGTGTTTTCAATCTATCGCTTCGAATAAATTTTCATTCATTCTGAGCGAGATCGCACTGTAAGAAGTGTAAAGGAGAGATCTTGCCGACTGTCGATCGACAAATACGCGAGATATTTAGGTGAAAAACTGTCAGCTTGTTCAAAGACATACAGTGTCCTTTCAATTTCGTTCATCGACCATAATATTAATTACACCTTCCACTTCGTCCTTTCGTAGTTGACCATGCGTATGTACGAGCCACGTTTATTGAAGGTTCGCGTTTCGACTAGTTGATTTAATATTTACAAGCGGAAATTCGCGGAAGCCTGTTGAAATCACGCAACCCGCCGCCACTCCGGCATTATGACGGTTATTAAAATATAAAAGTTTAATTAAAAAGTTAATGAAACGAGAAAGCCTCTTCGTCGGGGTAATTTCCTTTGATACAAAATTCAATTATAATTTGCGTCAAACCACCGCCATCTCCATCACCACCATTCCGGGCTTTACTAATGTTTAAAACATTGCATTATATTAATATAACATTTATAATATTACGCCGCGCATAATATCAACACGCTGTTATTGTTTAACTCGATAAAGCCGGATTCAAGCAAATATTTTCTTTTTTCAGCAATTCGGGCCGATCCTCGATGTGGAAATCATATTTAATGAACGAGGCAGCAAGGTAAGCTCGCGTTGCCCGGCTGCGAACCACCCCTGTCAACCCACCCACGACAGACAAATACCTTTAGTATCTTATTTTAAGCTAATGTTGCGCCGAACGATCACTCTCGTATCCAGAACCATGGGAGGAGGG